TGAGGTCACAGGTCAGTGAGGTCAGACATCAGTGAGGTCACAGGTCAATGAGGTCACAGGTCAGTGAGGTCAGACATCAGTGAGGTCACAGGTCAGTGAGGTCACAGGTCAGTGAGGTCAGACATCAGTGAGGTCACAGGTCAGTGAGGTCAGACATCAGTGAGGTCACAGGTCAGTGAGGTCACAGGTCAGTGAGGTCACGGGTCAATGAGGTCACAGGTCAGTGAGGTCACACATCAGTGAGGTCACAGGTGAATGTGACGTCCTAACCTTGACGAAGACGATGCCTCTGAAGAGTTTGAGGAGGAGCATGACTCCCATGGAGGAGGCGTAGACTGCTGCATAGTGTTGCATCATGGGATTGTCCTTCATGCTGATGCTCACCATCGAGCTGTTGCCCCGGGTTACCGTGGTGTTCTGGAGGAGCAGGGACAGAGAAGACATGACAGGAGGAGGAGCTGGAGGAGGAGAAAGAGGAAGAGGAGAGGAAGGAGGCGATGATGGTAAAGAGGAGGTGACGAAGAGGAGGTGAATAGGACATGATGAAGGGGAGGTGATGAAGAGGAGGACGAGTCTCACCCCGCTGCCCTGGTTGATCCAGTAGCTGAGCCACCACTGGCAGAAGGTGGAGCTTCCCACGTTGAGAACGAACAGAACAAGGATCAGCAGGCAGGAGGCGGAGCCACCACAGGCCACCATGTAGTGCCTGAACACGGGCCAGGCCACGCCCCCACACTGCTGCTCCTCCCCTTTGATGTCACATGATCAAACAGTAGAAATCAGTACAACACAGCCGTATGTCTATAAACAGTGATGTGGCGGTGAGGAGGCGTGGGGGCGTGTTTTGTGTTACCGTTCTCTTTAATGACCGCAGCATTCTTCTTCACGGATCCCTGTTTACTGTCGGCACATTTCTTCTGAGAACAGCTGGACTTCCTGGCGGGAGCTTTGATGTACGGAGGGTCTCCCAGCTGGAAATGATTAAACATGGCAGCGTAGTCTCTGTTCAGTTTCATCAGGTTGTCATGGTTACCCTGCTCCACGATACTTCCCTCCCTCATCAGGATGACATCATCGCAGTCCACCAGGTACTGCACACAGACACACACACACACACACACACACACACAGGTTATCTCCATGACAACCACTGGCAGGACAGAGTTCCTGTGCGGCAGAGGTTAACCTGCAGTTGGTGGGTGACGAAGATGACGGTCTTGTGGCGAAGCTGCTTCCTGATGGCGCTGTGGAAGATGTGGTTGGCCACGTGGGCGTCGAGGGCACTCAGCGGGTCGTCCAGGATGTAAAGGTCCCGGTCACTGTAGAGGGCGCGAGCCAAGCTGATTCGCTGGCGCTGCCCACCGCTCAAGTTGGCACCCCGCTCGCCGATCTGAGGGAACGGAGATACATACGCGTCACCTGTCAACAGCTGTTTGATGTGTGTGCCCTAGTG